CTCTACTGGCCAGCTGTATTTTTCTCTCGCCCACGCTCTCACCATATCTATTTTCCACTGACCCAGCTCCGCTTGCCTGCTGACCATTACTACCTCCCCGTCTGCTCTTCCAGCTTCTTTTTCTCCTGCTTATCTAATAGACCAAGGTTTTTAACCCTGGGCTGTGTTCATAAATATATAAAGCCAACAGAAAACACTTTTCCTCTGGTTGGTAAACTGATGAATCATATTATAAGTTTTGTTCGTCCTTTACTCCTAGGTTTCCCTTGGATCTTTTCTGTGCATGCTGATAGTTGGGAGTATTTTTTGGTTATATTCTGAGTTTATAGATACTCCAGAGAGTTAAGGGTGTTGGATCACATGAGATAATCCATGTAAAGCCTTTGTAAATCTTAAAACATGCTAGAATGTTAGCTATTCTTCTTACTGTAAGTAGCTATGTTATTGTAAATGTTCTTTCATATACATGCTAGTGTAATAAAACATCTATTGTGTTTGATAGGAATCAAAGTATTAGTGTAAGAAAGAATCGAAGTGTAAGAAGGGAGTCTAAGTGTTCCTAGGTCTCAGAGACTGATCACTGGAGCAGTAAGGCAAGGACATTCTCTTCCATTTGGGGGAAATGGGTGGAAGAGGACATAATGGATCGTGGGGGGGGTGCACTGGGGGGTGCGGTAATGGCAATCAGCAATCAGAATGGAAGAGCCTGAACTCTGTGGGTCAGGCAGTGTTTATTTGAAGAAACTAAGGTCAGATCAGTATGTCAGGGAGTACAACTACACCACTCTTGATGTATCAGATTGAATAGGAAATAAACTCTATTGTGAGAAGTTTTTCTGTTCCTTCTGAAACCTTGCCTTATCTAGGTATTTCTCAACAATAATTAGGAGGTTGATTAATTTCTATATCTCTATTAAAAAAGGTTTATTTTTCTAAGGTATTATGGCCCAAGTTGATTTTCTAATCAATCTGTTATTTTTGTTAAATATCTCTGAAGAAACCTAATCACCAGACCTATACTACTAATAGGCATCACTATTCATGAAGAGGTATACCACATGTGATACATAGGAAGGAAGCAACAAAGTTCCCAAGGTTCTTTTTTGTTCTAAAGCCTCTTAATAGTAGATCATCACAGCTTATAATGAAACCAATTTAAATATATTTTTAAAAATTCCCTTTAAATTATATTCCAGTCTGTACAAGGGGTATCAATTTCCTCATTTATAAAATCAGGATAATATTTACACATTATTTAACCCACAGGTTTGTTTTAAGAAATTCAAACGAGACTATATAAAGTCCTTAGGAAATATAGAGGCAATGTGGTATATTTAATAGAAAGACCAAATTATATCTAACACGCACATCCAATTCTCTTTTTTCCATCATTTTCAACTCTACTCAGTCCACGTACCACCCTAACTCTGCCCACTCCCTCCCACTGTGCCCTCTGGAATTCCTGTTCTACAATGAATAAAATGCCTTTCATTCTGGACTGTTCTCACACTACTTTTATCTATGCGTCGTTGTGAGACCTGGCTTCCTTCATTTAAACTGCATCTCTGTCCATCCTTTCCACCACTGGCTACATCTTTACTTCCCACCCCCATGCCCCATCCCACCATATTAGTCCCATGGGGGGAATGCTGCCCATTGCTATCTCCAGACTTCGCCTTTGCTATTATCACTCAGCAACCTCTCCTCTGGAATCAAATCATGGCAGTGGTTTTCCACGGCAACCAGGTTATTTTCCTTTATTTCTCAAGGAATCTAGCACATGGATCAATGTCTCCCCTAAGCTCCCAATTCCTCAAACACACTCACTATTCAAGTCTACTTTATCCCTCCCAAGTACCTACCCTACTGTTACTACTCAACTAAGGGACCCGAGGGTCGCTTTGCCTCTAGGACCAAAGACAAACTCCTCTATTTGGCTTTTAAAGCTCTCCACAGCCGGGTTCCGACCTTTACTTCTAGGTTCACCGTACATTACTCCTCTGCCTCCATATTCTGCAATCCAGCTGGGCTGGTTTTCTTTTTGTTCCTCCTACATGGTCCTTCCCCTGTCTCCTGGCCTCCATACTGGCTGTCCTTCACGCCTGGGATATGCTCCCTCCTCACAGCACCCTGCTCTTCAATACACAACCTGAAAGTCTTTCCTGATCCCACCAACTGCTAGTGCCCGCCCTCCCTATCGACTTTATGTTAACTAGCTTTTATTTACTGGTACTTATCATTTTACACTGATTTTGTGTGCATACACACATATGTTTGTGCATGTACATACATGCTTACTGTTTCCTCATTAGGACACAATAAGCTCTATATACGTAGGGATGGTTTCACTCCCTGTGGCCAACATAGCACCTGGCACATAGGAAGCATTTTGTAAATGCCTGTTGATTGCCGAATTGTCTGCACTGGGTGGACACAAAGTCAAGGGATCCTGAGTCAAGTGTCTGCCACTTACCACGGGCAAATCCATTAACCTCTCGTGAACCTCAGTTTCCTCATCTTCAAATAAAGACAATGGCCCTCTCGTGACCTGCCTTGTGGTGGTTGTGAAGAAAGCACTATCTAAGTGGGACTCACAGGCATCCCCATGGACATGGAAGGGGCAGTTTCTCTATCTAGCCTGCTGTGTTACTTCCCTCAGACCTCATCCTGCAATGCCACCAGCTGCCTCTCCGTGGTGCTCGGTTATCGAGGGCCTGGGCCAACCAGAGGCTCAGCGTAGAGTAAGAAAGAGCAGCTCTTTTATAAATTCTTTATTAATAAGCAGATCAATTGGTAAAAGCCACACTTCTATAATATAAGATAGCGCAATTTGGAATATAATACACCTGGAAAAAATCTGGTACCTATTTCATTAAACTACAACTGCCAAAAATCGCTATTCAATTTACCCAAATTTTCCTGCTTCTTAAAAAAACAAACGACCCCCAAATCCTTGATTTTTCCTCTCACTTGTGTGGATTCGAGTAACAAAAAGTTACAGGCTTTGCCAGAGCTTGATGATCGGGATGCTCAGCTGTCTCTCTGGTCTGTCAGAAACTAACGGCTGGATGCTCGGTCCCTGGTTGTTCTGACCGAGGGTCCAGCTAGCCGCCTGCATCTTCCCTGTCTCGGCTGTAGCAGAGAGAATGTGAGGAACCCAGGCTATGCTACTTGGGAATGTGGGACCCAAGTCATGAGCCCTTTCTGGGCTTTATTTCCTTACTTACAAAATGAGGGAGTGGGTTCAGTTCCTTTCTGTGATTCTGTGATTCTAGTTCTATAGTCAGAAACGCTCAATGCTCAGTCTGTTGTCTGGTCAAGAGCCAGTGTCCGTGTTCATTCACATCAAGTAGCATGCCTGGTTCACATTTACACAGATAAGGGCTTTAATTTGCAAAGTGATTTCCTCAACATCTTGATGAGATCATTCATAGAAACCGAGACAGAGAAGTAAATGTACCCACAATCCTAAAGCTAAATGTTTGGTTAATTCAATTCCTGAAAACTACCAACTCATTTGGGAGTTGAAGGGTCCTTGGGGGTCCCCATGTCCCTGCTCTTAGTGACAGAGAGGAGGAAAGGTCGTAGGGGGGGCCTAGGACCTAGGTCTCTTGGTTTCAAATCCATTCATTCATCTATCAATGCCACTGAGCAAAATGACTCCTGAATTTTGATTTAAAGATTGACCAAACCTTTCCTCAAACCCCTGAACAGGAGAAGACTATGGTTTGCTCAGGCCCCAAAGCCCCATGTCCAGCCCTTCCACGCCCACCGGGCTTTACTCATACAAATCCACCTGCCATGAGTCCAGAAAGGCTTTCCACAGCCATGTGCCACTTTCCCTTCTAACAAAACTGAATTCATTATTTGCGCTGCCCCCCCCCCAACTCCCAAGCTTTCCTCGTCAATCACTGACCACTGGCACAGTCAGTGGGGGGCACAAGCTCTTCCAAAGCTCGGGAGCAGCCCTTTGCAATGGATGTTAATAAGCATCACATGTCAAGAACAGAGTTAGCTTTCTACAAGAAACCATGCCAGAAGTCATCCCATTCTCCAGGGGGAATTGGGAGACAGCTTATTTATGAAGGTAAAGACTCACCCTTTATATCACTAGGAAGCATCTAGGGAAAAATGTCTTCAAGGAACGATCACCCTAATTTGGGGGTGGGGAGGATCAGGACCAGTTATGTCATTGCTATAAGCCCTCCCCTGCCCTCAACTCCCTCTCCTAATTCAGGTGAGGCCCCTGCTCTGGAATGGACAGTCTCAGGGAGTAGCCAAGTGACTTGCACATAGACACAAGAAGCCAGGAACCTTCCGGGGCAGGTCTTGAACTCGAGTCTTCCTGACTCAGGGGCTCTTTGTCTATTCTGTTATGCTGCGTGAAAATGCAAACATGTCATGGACATACATGTTGAAATGAAGGGTGACGACGCAGGAATAAATCATCACCAGCAAACATTAAGCACCTCTAGTATACCAGTCACTGTGCTAGGCATTAGGAAATAACCTTCTGGAATAAGATGGAAAAGAGGCAGCTTCCCTGAAGGAAGCCCCCTCCAGTGCCTCTGAGGGCGATTCACTGCTTTTCTGCAGAGTTCGAGTTCTCAGAAAGTGTGCCTGGAGAATGGAAACGGCCCTCCCTGTTACTTCTCTCCTCTGGTCCTAGCTCTGCTTTCTGGGAACAGACATAACAAGTCTAATGTCCATGCCTTGTGACAGAGCATGAAATAGGTGGAAGATGATGATTATGTCCTCCACCCCTCCCCCTTCTTGCAGGCTGTCACCAAGATGAATTGGGATGACAGAGCAGCATCCACCTACTGACACGTGCTCTAGAGTTTTGAAAACGTGCTTTACAAACTGAGCTAGGCTACTTTACAATCACCTGACTGGCGCAAACAGATTAGCCCAACTTTTCAAGCTACTGTAAGATAACATTCAAATTTCAGACCCACCATTTTGTAAAATAAAATGTCTGCTTATAATAATGATGCTAACAGGGAAAAAGTTTTCATAGATGTATAATTTATTAACTTGTCAAGTTTGGCCCCACGAGGCAAAAGGCCCAACAGAAGCCCTCTATCTAAGCAGCATCCAAAGGCTCATGGGCCGGTGTTTTCAAGTCCACCAAATTCTGGACCCTCCCTATGTCTCTCACCTTATCTCTTACTATTTCAACATCTGATTTGAGCCTGATTTTTCTCACTGGCTGCATCGGTGGCCTCAAGCCGTGCTTGCCCCAAGATATCTACTGGGCATACGGCTCTACCATCAATACTGTCTAATGCCTGGTCTAACCCCCTTCCATCACACGCGTACAATGAATGATGCACTTGCTACTTAGGATTTTTGTATCTGCAAAGTGCCTCCTTCTACAGTAAAGATCAATGACCTGATGCTGATTGCATCTGGATGTCTACATGTATAAAGCTCTGTGGAGAGAGATGCTATAGCCAGATGAGCAAGAAATGTCCAGGAAGGGTGAGGTTTCAGAAGAGGAATATGGGGCCACTAGCTAAGAACTCCATTTCCCAGACAATGGGATTCTGGCTAATACCTCCCCATCCAGGTCAGAGTTCCTGTGTAGAATCTCAAGAAGGGTAAATGCTTTCAAGTCAAGGCTCAGTGGTGTCTGCCCAAAGAACATGCCTAAAGGACATTTCCCCTGGCAATGGAAAAAGCTATTAAGAAGATAAAGAAAATACCAGAAGACGCTGTTACTCCCCAAGTCAGGGAACAGAGATGGCATTTCAGGAAAAGAGGAAACTCTGACTCACCTGGGACTTGGTAGGGAGGCCAGTGGTGGCCATATCCAGCTCTTCTGACGGAAAGACAAAAATCTCAGGAAGGCCCAGCTAGGAAAGAAGAAAGGGGGTATGAAAGAGCAGCAGCCTCAGACCTCCCAGGCAATGAGAGTGCCCCTGCCCCCAGAAGACTGAAGACGCTAGAGCAGCACCCGGACCGGTGCTTAGATAACACTGGGCTCCGGGGGACGGAGCTTTAGGAACCACGGCAAGGAAACAGAACTGTGTTCTATGGGATCTAAGCAAACAGGCTCTGCACATACCCACGTGGGCCCTGATGACATCCTGAGCTGGCATTTCATCATGATCTCTAAGCACTTATTAAGTGCCTACAGTATACCAGGCACTGCGTCAGTGATGGTGATACAAAGACAAAAATAAACAATCCCTGCTCAAGTTTAGCATTCTATGGGCAGAGACAACACGTACTGCGTGCACACACACAGCATGTGTGCACGTACCTACAGAGGCACGAGCCTGAACTGTGAGGGAATGATGACTGAAGAACACAAGGGAAGGGAAGGTTTTCAGGATCTGGTGTGGAGCAGAGTCAGCAGAGACAGCCTGGATACGAGAAAGCGTCGCGGCCCCAAAGGAGAGGACCGCCAGAAGACCAGTGCCCACCCCACCTCCTGCGCAAAGGAGGGGCCCAGCCTTTTGCAGTGCACTGATCGGTTCTGTGCCTTTTAAACACTATTATTTGTTAGGCAGGATGGCGAAGAGGGAGAGGCGGTGGGGAGGAAACTATGCTGATGTAAAAAGAGTATCGATACAACTTGTTAAAAAATGAGCATATTGCAGAAAGAATTTCATAAAATAAAGACAACGTAGCTAAACAACAAAAGTGGTTGGGGATGGAAGGCACTAGCAGTTAGGGGGGAGGGCTTGGGAACAGAAAAAGCTTGGATCCAAGGTGGTGCATGAGTGGTGTCTGGGAGGAAGGGAGGGATTTCGTGAGCAGGGACGAGGGCAGGGCCTTCCAGGCAGGAGGGAGTCCACGAAATGTCTGAGAAATAAAGAGAAGCCCTGCTTGGCCAGACTGTAGACAGTGCTGTAGAACAAGGCTGCAAAGACAGGGGCTAGGTTGTGAAGGACTTTAGAAACCAAACAGGAGTTGACCTTTAATCGGAGAGCAGGGGTTCTTAATATCTGTAGGATAATAGACTACTTTGGGGTCTGCTGAAACTTATGGAGCCTTCCTCAGAATAATGTTTTTTAAATGCATCATATAATCACCATAACTAGCATTTTACAAATATTATCTCATTTGATCCTCACAGCAACCCTGAGAGGCAGGTGCTGTTATTATCCGCATTTTACGGACGAGGGAACTGAGGCAAACTGAGGTTAAGTACTTGGCCAGGGTCACACAGCTAGCTAAGTAGTTATCCGAGGCTAGATTTGAATTCAGATCCTCCTGACTTCAAGTATTAAGACCTTACTCATTTTGCCATAATAAGATGAAAAAAGAAACCTGAGACACTGAGATACAGTCATCAAAACTTTTAAAAAGCACGTTCCTAAATTCGGATTACAAAGCCCTGGATCTGGAGAAAACTGAGAGGCCCTCGGGTTTACTGGTCCCATTACCACATGTCCCTACCAGCAGCTGAGGACAATCTGTTTGCCGCTTTGAGGCAGGAAGGAGGCCCTGAGAAGTGACGAGCGCCTGGAGAGGTGCCAATGGGAGGAGGGAGAGGGCTGGACGTGAGAGATGATGTGGAGAGAGAAAGAGCAAGATGTGCCAGGTGCCTGGACACACAGGAGGGAAGGAGTCCGTGGGGACCCTCAACCACGCTCCCCACGGCTGCTGCCCAAATCTGACCATACCAGCTACTCAAACGGCTCTGGGGCTGCTGGGATTCAAGGGGCACTTGGACTGGCCTTTAAAGCCCTTCCCGACCTTTCCAGGCCGATGACAACGTCTGCCCTCCATGCGCATATGGCCCAGCCCAATGGGCTGCACAAAGCACTCCATCATCCTGTCTAGCGTACTGATGTGGGCCAAGCAGAGAAGGGCCTTCACACACTTCTGGTCCAGGAGAACCGGAATCTCCTTTGTCATCAGCTCGAGATTGCCCTCCTCTGACCTTCTCCACCTTCTCCACATTCTTAAACAGGGATGCCCAGAACTGAAGCCAGTTCAGAGCCCAAAGGAGGTCTGCCTGGGCCTGTCACATCCCTTCTGTGGTAGCCCCAGATGCCATTAAAGCGCCTTTCAGAACAGCTCCGGATAAATGCCCACAGACAAGACTCTTCCTCTCCTTGAGGTCAGCCCAATGCTCTCAGACCTCTCTCAAGCGTGGCTTTGTGGGGTCTGCTGTGCCCGACCATGTTCCTCTCTGACCTTTGTGCAGAGACACAACGCGTGCATGCTATCCGAGGACCAGTCCAGGTCTGGGCCTGTGCCATATCAGGCCTCAGTTTCCCCATCTGTAAAAGGTGGGGTTTTCCAAGTCCCCTTTCAGTCCATGATCCTGGCTAGCTGGGTTTCAATTCACCAAGCACTGACGGAGTAACTGATGAGCCGAGCAGGGACAACTGGAAGAATAAGCCTCATCTCTTCTGACCCCGAGGTCCCAAACCAGCTGGACCAGCAGCTGCCCTCTCCCACGGGGAGGTCCCCCAGACCTGTGTCCTTCTGTCTCTGGGCTGTGCCACCTTCTCTTGGCTGGCCCTTTATAGGCTATTTGCCCCTCAAGGGCAGGGTGTGATTTCTGTTCCCCGGCACATCCCAGGTGCTTAATAAATGCTCACTGACTGGACGTGGCACTGCTCAGCAAGCCTCAGTTTCCTCCTCTGTAAAAAGGGAGCTATGGCTGGCAGACAGCAAGAAGCGCTTTGCCAGCCTTTAAGCGCTATAAAAGAACTCGGAGGCGGCACGTCCCTTCCCGCGCCCCCTCCCCACTTCGGGGCCTCCCTTCGGCCATCAGTAAAGGGTGAGGGGGCACTGCTGAACTCAGAGCATCCCACGGAGCTCCAGAGCCGCGCATGCGCATTCTCCTTCGCGCCGGGGCTGAGGAGTGACGTCTCAGAGAGCTGGGATGGTTGCCATGGAGACGTTGAAAACGAGCGCGAGCCGCCCCCTCCATCCCATTCAGGGTTCAGCTCCCGCCGGCCTCGGGGCTAGCAGGGGCTCCTCCACATAAAGGCTGGGCAGAGGGAAGAGGGAGAGGGGCAGGACTCACCTCCGGGCCCGAGCAACGAATACGTCTGGAACTAGAGCGATGTAGAGGGAGACCCAAAGCGCTCCAGGCCACGACTCCAGACGCGCAGACTCTTTCGCCGAGGCCTCCGCGGCGGCCCTCCCGAACGCGCCTGCTCAGTAAGCACCGGCTCCAGCCCCGCCCCCGGGGCACTCTGGGTAGTGTAGTCCGCTTCGCCACGGAGCTAGAGCTGAAGGTGCGCAAGGCCATAGGCCGCACCCCCGTGAGCGGGTCCAAAGAGTTGGGAACCGAGTGCCTCGCGATGACGGAGGCCCGGGCCAGCGCCGCCCAGAGGTGCCTGGGAAATGTAGTTTTGGCTGAGGGGGTGGGTGGAAGGGAGGAGATGCGCGCGCAGCCCAGTCCCTGCGACCAGAAGAGTGCCTGCCTCAGGAACCGGAGGTTGCTCGGCGCTAGAGGTGAGTCCGCGGACGCCCCTCGCCCTCAGTTCGAACTGAGCTCGGGTCCGAGTGGGAGGTTCTGAAGTGGAGGTGGTGGGGGAGGTTTGCTTGCGGTCAACGTAGTAACCGACCCCTACGTGACGTCATTCCTCCAGGTGGTAGGGTTGTCACCATGGCAACCTCCCGCCCACCAGAGTCCTGTGATGTCATACCGCGGGCTGGGTTGGGATACGTGGCAGGATGCCTCATTTTACAGAGAGGGAAACTGAGGCACAGAAAGGCCAAGATTCTTGGCCAGGCTCTCACAGCTGGTAAGTGTCTGAAGTGGGATTTGAACTCGGATTGCCTAGATTCCAAGTTTATCTCTTACCTTAGAATATAAGTTTCTGGAAGGCAGGGGGTGTTTTGCTTCTCTTAGCCTGTAGTAGGCACTCCATGTTTATTGGTGAATTGATTGATTGATAGATAGACTTAGAGCTGGAGGAGATCCACATTTGTCCAGCCCCCACATTTTTACAGAGACAGAAACTGAGACCTGAGAGGCCAGGTGAGTGCCCTTGTCTGCCTCTGTCTCTACCTCCTCTGGGTACCTCATGGCCAGTGCTGCTGCTTCTGCCACACCTGGCTAGTGTCGCCCTGCCCTGCCTTCAGCAAGCTGCAGCCTACACCTGCACTTCATGCATGCATGGGTCAGCACCTTCTCTGTCACCCGGGGCCCTCCCCAGGGGCTGGCCCTTCATCTGCACCGGACAGACGTCCTCACTCCGAGGGACCCTCTGCCCCCCTCCCTCCTCACTCTCGGGACTCACAGTAATGTTGCAGGGGTGGACATCTAGGAGCTAGAGAACAGCCAGCCCCTTCAGTGTCCCTGCTCTATAGGATTGGGAGGAAACCTGGATGGGCCCTTGGGCTCTACAGAGCCAGAAGGACAAGGGAGGTGTCCTCCAGAATCACTGAACTAGAGAAATCTCATTTGGGAAATTTCCCTCTCTTACGGATTCTGCCTTTACTGTTCACAGGCAGTCTGTACGGCAGCCACCCTTACAGGACGAAAATAATAGCCCAGAAAATAAATGAGTAACAGCTTCCAGTGACATGACTATAGCACTTTAGGATATGCAGCTGCTCTGCATCTTCCTCCTTACTTGTATTTACCTGAGCATGGGGCCTGGTGGGCTGAGAAAGGGTTAATAAATGCTTGTTGATGATGGTGATGATGATGATAACAATAATGATGTTAATAAGCCCCTTGAGCTGTGTTGTTAGGAAGCTGGTTTGGGTGTCAGGTTTCCCATTTTACAGAGGGAGAAACTGAGGTACGCAGAGGTTAGAGCAGTTGTCCAGTGTTGCCCGGCTAGGACGTGGTGGAGCTGGTTAAATGCAGCTACGTTGGGTGAGGCACATAAGACTGCCATAAAATTGAATCAGTGGGGCCAAGTTTGTTGGAGTCTTGGTGGCTTAGGGTCTTTGCTTTCATGCCTGGCTTGTGACGAAGCAAAGAGAGGTTTTTAGAGTGAGCAGGTTGGCTTGGATAGAGTGGAGAGTCGTCCCAGCCGGGAAGCTAGAAGCACTGAGAGGAGGGAAACTGGGTGCAACAACAATAGTGACAGCTAGCATTTATAGAAGTGCTTTAAGGTTTACAAAGCATTTCACAAATACTGTCCCCTTTAATCCTCACAACAACCCCGGGAAGTAGGTGCTGTTACTATCCCCATTTTACAGATGAGGAAACTGAGGCAGACGGAGGTAAGGTGACTCGTCCAGGCTGGACTTGTTGACCCACGAGCCACCTGGCTGCGTGTAATAAACACACAGTAGTACATGCTTGGACTGAGGCTCAGTCTGGTAGGTATTTGAGAAGGTCTGTGAGTTTTACGGGGAGGGGCAGAGAGGAAATCAGAGCTCAAAGGTCCACCTGGGGGATGTGGCCCCCTTCCTTCCCTGCGGTTAAAGATCTCACGGCCCCCTTTCCTTCTTTCAGGCCTCTCAGTCCGGAGGCGGTCACAGGGGGCCATGGTGAGGCCTGCCGGCAGCGCCACCAGGTGACTCTTCCGTCCGGCTCTGACCGCAGTGGCCGAGGAGACGGAGCCCGAGCAGCGCGAGCCGCAGGCCCCGGCCTCCTCCAAGGAGCCGGCCGCCGGGGCCGGGGCCTCGGCCTCGGCCGCGGCCGTCATGCAGACGCACTGCCAGTGCCACCTGTGCGTGAGCACCTTCCAGGCGCAGATGAGCCTCAGCGTGCACTTTAAGGAGCGCTACGCCCCCAAGACCTACGAGTGCGCCGAGTGTCAGAAGACGTTCAAGCAGAAGGGCAGCCTGACTGTGCACGAGCGAATGCACACGGGGGAGAAGCCCTACGTGTGCCTGGACTGCGGCAAGTGCTTCCGCAACGGAGGCAACCTCACGGTGCACCGGCGCGTTCACACAGGCGAGCAGCCGTACAAGTGCGACGCGTGCGGCACCGGCTTCAGCCAGAAGGGCAGCCTCGTGGTGCACCTGCGCATCCACACGGGACAGAAGCCCTACGAGTGCACGCAGTGTGGGAAGAGGTTCAGCACGCGGGGAAACCTGGTCAAGCACCTCCGCGTGCACACGGGAGACAGGCCGTACAAGTGCAGCCAGTGCGAGAAGACCTTCACCCAGCGCGGCAGCCTGACGGTGCACATGCGGAGCTGCGCCAGGGCCGCCCACCTGGCCTGCTGCAGGCCCGACGCCTGCTTCCCCTGATTGCCCTCTGCCCCGACAGAACACGCCCACACGGGCTTTCTTTCGCTTTTACGTATCTTAACATGCTCAAGGTCACCGTGAGGCCACTTAGTTCTCTTCTTATTTCGTGTCCTATCACCCGTTTACTCCGTTCTTTGGCGTCTTTTAGGATATAAATCAGCTTTAAATAGTCTCTTCTGCAGGTAATTTTTTTTTCCTTGCTGATAAAACTTCAAAAGAACGTCCCACGCTCTGAGCAATGATTATTGTATCTGGAGTGCAAAGATGTATTGAGTTGTGATGCCAGTTTGTCTCATCAGAGCTGGAGATGTATTTGGCCGATTCTGTTGTTAGCTCGGCTGAATGTCGGCCATCATTAAAAATAAGGTAACAGCTGAATACAGCAGTAGCCTTTGAATTACGATCCAAGATACTGCCAATCCAGTAATGGACTTTGGTTTGAAGTTTTCTTTGCCAAAACCTCTTTACCTTATGTGGGAAAATGTACCTTTTTTTCTTTTGTATATACCTTTTACCATTTATTTGCTGAAGTTAAAGAATGCATATGGGATCATCCTGCCAGTAACACGTTCAAAGATGATTTAGTGAGCTACCAAACCAGGTGTGTTGACAAATTGTGAGCACCATCTCTTTCAGTCTGGGCTATCTTTAGTTGGGACTTGGCATGTTGACACTGTCTTTAAGGCATTCATATAACTTAGGAACAATACCTTTGGGGTACTCGGCCCCATCCAACTATCAATATTTGTGATTCCAAAAGAATTTTTGAGCTCTTGGTGGCTTAGTACAAAATCCTGATGTCACAAAATGTTTGTTGCCTGAATAAACATTACAATAAAGTGCCTAATTTGTAGGTCTTCAAACTACAGTACCTGAATATTCCTTGTTTTTTTTTTTTTTCTATTCTTTCTTAATGAGTGTTGCACCATTCTAAGCATCTGACAAGGTGAGATGAATTCATCCTCTGGATTTTGGAGACTTGTAGATTTTAGCCCAAGTGGATACATTTATGTTTGGGATGACCTTTCTGACATTACTTTGTTTCTCAATCCGTCCCATGCTTGTAATACACGTTTGAGGAATGGATTTGATTCTATCCAAGTATAGAGATAGGGTCAGGGTCTGTGATTTCACAGGGAAGGGTCCCTGGATGAGGAAGCTCCACCAGTACCAGGCTGTACCTTCCCGACAACTTAAGAGTCTTAGAAGCTATATATGGGACACTGAGAAGTAAGGGGATGTCCCCAGGGCCACAGAGCAGGACTTGAACCCGGGTCTTCCTGGCTTGGAGGCCGGCACTCTATCCATTATATATGGCTACCTCTCTGCCCCACATAAGCCCTTCCTTTAGTTATCTTCATTCTGATGCCTCTAGGGCAAGAAAGAATTCTAAATGTGGGGTCTGGGATTAAAAAACAATTGATAACTGCATTTAAATACGGTTGGGTTCCTATGTATTTTATGTATTTAAAAACATTCTTCTGAGAAGGAGGATAGAGCAAAAGTTATCCCTGGTTGAAGGAGAAGAAATGGTTCCCGTGGCTGGTTGTTGGAGAGGTTATCTCCCTTCCGTTTGCTTCCTCAGCCAGTGGGGAGTGTGATCCACTGGCAGAGGCATCCTCGGCAATTCTTGTCTATGGCCTTCCATCAACGGAGGGGACGTCCACACCAAAGACACGACACATCTGTGGGAGCTGAGAACAGAGGGAGGATTGTAGAGCACAGAGAGGGAAGGATTTACAGGCAGAACAGGATTTAAATCTTACCTCCAACACTAAATAGCTGTCACACACACCCCATGCATTCAATAGAGCACATCGCAGGCCTAAAATCTGGGTTTCCCCCTTTACTTTCTCTGTGAGTCATCTCCTATTCTCTGCTGATACTGTAGGCCTTTTGCTACTACATATAGAATTAGCAACTATTTTTTTTAGGCCAAATTAGGTGGATTTGGGTAGTTCCATTAGTGTAGTTTGAAAGGGGGCAATATAAACACTAATTATTATAATATAATTGTTATATAATAATAGTAATTATCTGAATTTTTACCAGTGATATGAGGAAGTTTGATCAATATTATTAGACCATAGCTTTTTAAAATTGATAAAAAAATTTTTTTATAATTAACAGCAAATTGGAGAATGAAGACAACCTATTCTTAATAGTCTCTCCAAGATTTCCTCACACGGCTAAGTACAGTACAGAGAATGAACAGAGTAAGGTCAATCAATCAATAAACATTTAAATGCCTCCTTTGTGCCAAACTTTGGGAGATAAAAAAACAAAAGTGGAATGGTTCTTATTCTGAAGAAGCTTACATTCCATTGACGGAGATGCGTATGTGTAGGTACATATTAATATATTTGTATACGCATCTACACACATGCAATTGAGGTAGCACTAGCAGCTTTGGGGGAGGGGGCTTCCAAAAGACTGAAGGAGTCCAATCCACACTTCAGTTTCTAGGCGTTGTCTGATGACTACCACCCCGCCTGCTTTATTTTCAGGTGCTGAGGGTAGGCCTGCTCTGATGATCACTTCATTTCCAAGGAAGTTTTAATCCCTTTTTTCCCAGAGAAGGTCGTGGTGACCAGCTTGGCTCCAAATTCCCAGGGGCTTGTTGGACCAGCATTTCATGGAGCTCCCCACGAATGACCCAAGATGACATTTTATGGCTGTTCCCCTCCTGCCAAACCATACAAGCACCCCAATAATCCTTCAAAGTATTGATCAGCCTTCCAGTGTGCCTTCTACCTCACAGCAACTGGTAGCTTTTAAAGAAAATAGTTTATTCCCTGGCTTCCCTCTCCACATCCCTCTTCTTCCCAAATTGTCCTATGCAGGTTTATTATTAGCTGCTCTAGCAAAAACCTTTCCCCCCATCCCAGGCCCCCCCCCCCCCCCCACATTATATAGCAGAATTTTTTTTTTTTAGGATAGTTCTTTATCTGGCTTTCCCAACTGTTTCCCAGAACATTAGAAAAACGTGTCGCTGCCAAATTTGAATTTTGCTTAATTTTGAATCAAAAAATAAAAAGTAAGGTCCAATCTTATTCCATTTATGGCTTTATTGCAAGATGTAAGGATTTATGAATACTCATTTGAGTGTATATTTTAGATTCCTAATCTAAAGCCTTAATTAGCCCCAGGGAAGTTTTCCTCAGCTTGCATTGTTGCTAAGAGTTTTCAAAGGAGGGAGCCTACTGGATTAGCTGGAAGATTCCTTAGGGTCAGATTCTAGCCTTAAGGTGGGCAGTTGTACATTGGCGGTGTTGAAATCTACATACTGTTTTTTGTCAGGCAGTCAATGAGCATTTATTAAGGGCCCACCCTGCTCCTGGTACTCTGCCGGTCCTTTGATTGTTGTCCTTTGTTCTTTTATTATTTATTTATTTTACTTTTAGACAATTGACTTGCGCAGGGTCACACAGCTAGTGTCAAGTGTTTGGTCTGAGGCTGGATTTGAACTTGGGTCCTCCTGACTTCAGGGCCGGTGCTCTATCCACTGCACCACCTACCTGCCCCTGTTGTCCTTTGTTCTTGAAGAGGACCAAAAAGACATCACTATGTTAGTCAAGTTACAGTGTGTCCCACCATGGCTGAGCAGACCAACGTGAGCTCCGAAGGTTCTACCACAGGTCACGCGCAAAGAGTCCATGTGAACATTTGGGGTGGATGCTCTAAACTTGCACATCTTCCGTTTCTTTTGAGCCACTGCAATTCTGCGTTGCTCATAGAGCACAGCACCTTCTTCGATGAAGACATGCCTTCCTGGGTGGTCCAATGCCAGCGTCTCCATACAGTCAATTCCAACTTGGAACTGATTGGCACTCTGCTAGGTTTACCAAGAAGGACAGAGCCCCTGCCCTTCGTGAATTCCCGGTCCAATGGGGGAGACAACGTGCAAACCAGTTGGTACAAACGCCATAGAGAGAGTAGAGGGAAGGTGATCTCTGAAGGGAAGACACCACCACCTACTTGGGGTGGGGGGAGTGGTAGGAGTGAGATTCCAGGTGAGCTGGGAAGGAAGACAGCAAAACGGAGGAGGAGGAGGAGGAGAGGGAGAACATTTCAGGCACAGGAGACAGCCATTGCCAAGGCACAGAGCGCCGGATGGTGTCCTGTGCGAGGAAGGATGAGTGAGGCTGGCGTGGCTGAATCACAGTTTGTGGGGAGGCATGGATGTGTCAGAAGCCTGGCAGGATGTGAAGGGGAAGGTGGGGAAGGGCTCTCGATGCCAACCAGATGACCTCATGTTGGATTGTGGAGACAACAGCAAGAACAGCAGGTGTCTGTAGAAGACAGACAGAGCTCATATAGCACACTTGACATTTGTTAACTTGTATGCTCACATCAGTGCCTGCTAGTCTAATCGATTATTCCCCTTTTACGGATAGAGGTTAGGTGACTTGTCCAAGATCACACAGCTAATAGGGCTGCATTCAAATTCAGGTCTTCCTGACTCCAGTCCCATGCTCCACCTGCTGAAGTACCCAACTGGCTCGAGGGATCCTTAATGAAGAACCACTGAAGGGTACTGATCAGGGAGTGAATGGATCAGGCGGTGGGACTTGAGTACGAAACCTGCCTCGGAGACTTATTAGCTGTCTGACTCTGGGCGAGTCAGTTTACCTTTCTCAGCCTCAGCTTTATCACTTGTAAAATGGGGATAATAATAGCAGATACCCCACAAGGTTTTTGTGTGGCTCAAATGAGACAATTTTTTATGCACTATATAAAGGTTACCTGTTAATATGTCTGAGGGCAGCTAGGTGGCGCCATAGTGCAAAAAGTGCCACACCTGGAGTCTGGAAGGCTCTTCTCCCAGAGCTCAGGTCTGGCCTCAGACACTTCCTAGCTGTGTGACCCTGGGCGAGTCACTTAATTCTGTTTGCCTCAGTTTCCTCATCTGTAAACTGAACTGGAGAAGGAAATGGCGAACCATTCCAGGATCTTTCCCAAGAAAACCCCAAATAGGGTCACGGAGAGTCAGACATGACTGAAAAATGACTGAATAAGCACAATGAGTACGTCCAAGAGGCTGCTGGAGATGCAAGAGTGGAGTACAGGGGAAACTAAGACTGGAGATATATCTATATGTATATATTTAAGAGTCATCTGCATAGAGATGATCTTTGAGGAGCTGATGAGATCACCAGGGAGAGAGCACGGAGGGAGAAAAGAAGCCCCAGCACAGAGTCTTGGAGGGCAATGCATCATTAGTGGGTACTTCAGCAGAGAGTGTGTGGGGAGATGAGAAAGTTTGGAAATGACTGCCTTGCTGTAATAAGAGCCCCATTAAGATTAGGTAATGTAAACTTGTGATGGACCTAGTCAACTCCATTTTGTGATTTTTTTCCCAAATCTATTCGGTAGTGTATGAATAAGAGCAAAGGAGGCAGAGGGTAGGAATAATTCAAGATTGTTGATAGTGGGACAAGAGGACAAGGGATTTTGGTGGAGAAGATAGTGCAGATTGGAGTTGGTCCCCCAAGGGGTTGAAATAGGGAAGAGAGTAGAATATAGCCAGTGCAGGGATAATGGCCTGGGAAAGAGAGGAGGAGTGGAGGTTATGGTGAGGATGAAGAGTGAGTGGGGGATGGGCAGAAAGCAAAGGGAAAGATGGGATGATTGAAGCTCGTTTATGGGCCTTGGCAAGAGCAGAGTGTAGCTGGGTGGGAAATCAGGGTATCTGAGGGAGCCTCAATACATATGTGTATGTATATGTATATGTGTATGTATATGTATATGTGTATGTGTATATGTACATGTGTATGTATATATATGAAAGTCCCATAGTGTGAAAGCAGAAGATGTTAGGGAGAGAATACTGTAAGCCAGACATTCAGTTTGATGGGAAAGGAAGGA